GCAAAACGTTCACCTCGTAACAATGAGGCGGGATTTGTGTCAACTTCGTGTCTTTCTTTTCTTATTTTTTTCGTGTCCTTCTCTAAGACTTGTTTGCCTCCACAATTCTCCCTCTTTCCTTATCCTCCCACCCTCTTCCTTCTTCTTTTCCTCTCGTTCTCCATCCTTGCAACTTCTCTTCTGTTCCCTTTATCAACCTTTCTTTTCTCCGTGTTAACTTCCTACACTGTTCCAGGGCAAGCGGAGTTAGCGAGCAGAACCTCGAGCTCCCTGACACCATCACCAAGTGGGTGGGCAAGGCCGTGTGCGCCCACCCGGAGAAGGGCGTGGGACTGTCCGAGCGGACATCCATCACCACCTTCACGCCCTTCTTCTCGGACTTGACCCTCCCGCCCTCCGTCAAGCGAGGCGAGGTCCTGCCCGTCAACCGTGGATCTCCGTCTTTAACTACCTCGATCAGCCCTTGCCGGTGAGTTCGAAGGCGGTTCAAGTGAAGCACTGTGATGCGGAAGGGTCTCCCCCCCCTCCAGTACTCTACAGATAGGAAAGTGTGACGTGACCCTCTAAGGTCAAAGTCCCAATTACTAGGTATCACAGAACTGTCCTTTAAGTAACCTCGCCGCCTTAAATCACCTCGCTAACACCCTCGGTCTCCTCGTGCAGGTACGAGTGATCCTTGAGGAGAGCTCCGAGTACGAGGTGGTGGAGGATCCCTCGCTCGGAACAGGGAACGAGCGGACGTCCTGCCTGGCGCCGCAGGACAAGGTGGTGCACACGATCAAGATCCAAGCGCTGGCTCTCGGCGACGTCAACCTCACCGTCTCCGCCTTCGTGGACTCCAGCATCCCCGAGGCCTGCGACACGACAGAGCCCGTCGTGAAGAGGTGAGGACGTCGTACCGGTGTCTTGGAGAGGGACCACTCAGTGGACATGTGAATGTGTGCGAAGGCAATCGGCAAAGCATTCCATCCAGTCATATCAGAGGCCATTTCCATCCGTGGGCCCTAATAACTATCCCAGCCCCCTTTCATCTAGTCCAATGCCAATACAGCTTCCCTGCCTCAAGGTAAATGGCAGGAGCAACCAGTAAAACCGTGCATATTTCTCCTCGACAGAGACACTCTGATCAAACCCATCAAGGTCGAGGCAGAGGGATTCCCGAGGGAGGAAACTTGGACCAAATACGTTTGTGCTGAAGGTATGGCCTTGACCCTGGTTGATCCATATACGTAATAGATATTGAATCAATGGTGATGGTTTCATCGAGTTAAAGAGGAAATGTATATATTAAATACACACACACACATATATATAGTAATATACATAGAGTAAAAGCATCTATATTTTAAAGAGATGGCGAAAATTAGATTCCGTTAAAGTAAAGCAATTTTACAGTACAATACAAAAAACCGCAAAACAACTGATACTTTCTCAGTCATACCTAAAAGAAAAGACCACTTTCGCCACAACATAACACACAAAGGTGAAGAAAAAAAACAGATCAAGCATTATAACAAAAAAATCATACACATACACCTACTCCAGTAAAGTAAAATAAACAGCCATTCAACCGCTATACACTCTGACCTTAAAGAGTCCCCTTCAACTACACCGTGACCTCTCTTCAGAACTGGCCGAGGGCAAGGACAGCATGGAGGTGTGGCAGGTGGCGCCCCCGGAGAAGATCGTGGCTGACTCCGCCCGGGGTTGGGTCACGGCCGTCGGTGACCTGCTGGCTCTGTCGCTCGAGGTGAGGCTACGGGAGAATAGTTGTAGTTGTAGCAGTTGAGTTATCAACGATAGTAGTAGTTTTAGTGGTAGTTGTAGTAGTAGTAGTAGTTGATAGTGAGTAGTTGTAGTAGTAGTAGTAGTAGGTTTTAGTGATTGTGGTAGTTAGTAGTTAGTTGAGGTTTTAGTGATTGTGGTAGTTGTAGTAGTAGTTGAGGTTTTAGTGATTGTGGTAGTTGTAGTAGTAGTAGTAGTTGAGGTTTTAGCAAGCGTAGTAGTAGTAGATGTTGTAGCAGTAGCAGTTGAGGTTTTAGGGATAGTGGTAGTTGTTGTAGTAGTAGTAGTTGTAGGAGTAGTAGCGATAGTGGTCGAAGTAATTGTAGTAGTATTCCTTCATTAGTTGTAAATGTGGAGTAGCAATTGTTGTAGTAGCAATCGTAGTAGTAGTACTTTTGGTTCTAATTGGAGTCTTTACTTGTTAATGATAATCGTGCATTTAGTTAATATTAGTATTAGATTTTTTTCTTCTTCTTCGGGTGCAGATTTAGAATTAGTTGTAATAATAGTAGTAGTATTGATATTTCTTTCGCTTTGGGTGTTGTCAATATTGATCTTCGTAAACCTTCTAATAGTAGAATTACTTTTTTTATCTATTGGAACTATTGTTTTTACCTACGCTTATGCTTTGTCACGAGTGGGCAGTATGATTTCTTTTCACTTGAGGTGAGTGGTGGTGGTGAGTGGGAGTGGGTGGTGGTGAGTGGGAGTGAAGAGGGATTATATCATCGCTCACCCTCGACACCTGTGTTTCTATATCTATCCTTCCATCTATCCAAACATTCATTCCTCCACCCACCCGTCTATCCATCTATCCACCCACCCATCCATCCACCCCATCCACATTCATCCACCTTACCCACCCATACCCCCACCCATCCACCCACCCACCCCACCACCCCCACTACCCACCCACCACCACCACCTACCACCCAACCCCACCTATCCCACCACCCATCCACCCCCCACCCTACACCCCCCACCCACCCCACCCACAACCCCCACCCACCCATCCACTCCCCCCCACCACCCACCTACCACCCACCACCCACCACTCCCCCACCCACTCACCCACCCATGACTCTCTCTCTCTCCTCTCTCTCCTCGCGACAGAACTGGGCTCCCTCATCCCACACACACACACACACACACACACACACACACACACACACACACACACACACACACACACACACACACACACACACACACACACACACACACACACACATATATATATATATATATATATATATATATATATATCGTTCCTTCTACGTTTTCTCTTTCTTTGCTTCTATGTTCCCCTTCACCCGCCACAGAACCTGGGCTCCCTCATCCGCATGCCGTACGGGTGTGGCGAGCAGAACATGATCAACTTCGCCCCCAACATCTACATTATGCAGTACCTGGAGGCGACGAGGCAGGGGACGCCGGAGACCACGGAGAAGCTCCTCCGGTTCATGAGGACCGGTATGTGGGTTCATTGAGCTCCTGGGGGGGGTAGAGGCCGATTCATGAGACTGGTATGTGGGTTCATTGAGCTCCTGGGGGGGTGGGTTGGGGGGCTTAGGGTGAATTTAGGACGTTCCTCCGATTCATGAGGACCATGTGGGTTCATGGAGCTCGGGGGTAAGAGGCTGTCGTCCTTAGGGTGAATTTAGGACGTTTTTTTTTTTTTTTTTTTTTTATTCAGTTTGAGAGATGGTAAGAAAATTGATTGAGTATCGTGTTTATGTGTGTGTGTATACGTTCACGCCACATACTGTGTTGTGACGTTCACGCCACATGCGCGTGTATGTGTATACGTTCACACATACTGCGCGTGTATGTGTACGTTCACGCCACATACTGCGCGCGTTCACGCCACATACTGCGCGTGTATGTGTGTATACGTTCACGCCATAACGATAACTGTAATAATAAAACATTATTGGGAAATTAGACCATAGAAACAGGATCTCGAACTCTAACAAAGGATATAACAATAGATACCCAGGCTCTCGAAGGATATAACAAAGATATATATAGTGATAATAAAAAGGGAAATTCGACCATGGAACCAGGATCTCGAACTCTAAAATAAACAAACAAAATAAAAAAAAAAAATAATTGAAAAAAATAAACAATCCTCTCCTTCAGGATATAACAAAGATATATATCATCAATGATGATAATAATAATAATAATAATAATAAGGGAAATTAGACCATAGAACCAGGATCTCGAACTCTAAAATAAAAAAATAAAATAAAAAAAATAAATAAATAAAATAAAAAAAACAATCCTGTCCTTCAGGATATAGATAGATAATAATACCATAGACCAGGATCTCGAACTCTAAAAAAAAAAATAATAAATAAACAAAACAATAATAAACAAAAAAATAAATAAATAAACAAAGATAGAACAAAGACGTATATATTGATAATAAAAAGCGACCATAGAACCAGGATCTCGAACTCAAAAAAAAAAAAAAAAAAAAAAAAAAAAAAAATCCTCTTCTTCAGGATACAACGAAGATATATATATATTGAATAATGATAATAATAAGGGAAATTCGACCATAGAACCAGGATCTCGAACTCTAAAAAAAACAAACCCTCCTCTCCTTCAGGATACCAGAGGGAGCTCCTGTACCGACGAACCAACGGCTCCTTCAGCGCCTTCGGGAACGCAGACGACTCTGGCTCGACGTGGCTGACCGCTTTCGTGCTCAAGTCCTTCGCTCAGGCAGATCCTTACATCTCGGTTAGTCACGTGGTCGAAGATGACGTTGTTATTACGTTTTTTTTTTTTTTTTTTTTTTTTAGATATGTTTAATCGTCTTCATTTTTTTCTTTCTTCTTTGTTGTTATTACGTATTTTTTGTTGTATTTTTTAGATAGATGTGTTTAATCGTCTCCATTTTTTGGTTAGTCACGTGGTCGAAGATGACGTCGTTTTACGTTTTTGTTTTGTTTTTTTGGTTGTATTTTATTAGAATGTTTAATCGTCTTTTTTTTATTTCTTTCTTGTTTTTCTTTTTTTTTATTTGTCTTCTTCGTTTCGTCTTTTTTTCTTCTCTCTTCTCTTTTTTTTCGTACGCGTCTTTGTTTACTTCACGATTCTCTTCTTCTCTTTTCATTTACCTTCTCCTTTATTTACTTCACGACTTTCTTCTTCTTTCATTTATCTTCTCCGTTTAGTCTTTATTTACTTCAGGATTCTCTTCTTCTCTTTTCGTCTATCTCCTCCGTTTAGCCTTTATTTACTTCACGACCCTCATTTACCTTCTCCTTCATTTACTCACGACTTTCTCTTCTCCTTTCATTTATCTTCTCCGTTTAGCCTTTATTTACTTCACGACCCTCCTCTTCTCTTTATATTTACCTTCTCCTTTATTTACTTCACGACTTTCTTCTTCTCCTTTCATTTATCTTCTCCGTTTAGCCTTTATTTACTTCACGACCCCTCTTTCTCTTTTTATTTATCTCCTTTATTTACTTCACGACTTTCTTCTTCTTTCATCTATCTCCTCCGTTTAGCCTCTATTTCACGATTCTCCTTCTCTTTCCATTTACCTCCTCCGTTTAGCCTCTATTTCACGATTCACCTTCTCTTCCCATTTATCTCCTCCGTTTAGCCTCTATTTACGATTCTTCCTCTCCTTTCATTTATCTCCTCCGTTTAGCCTTTATTTCACGATTCTCTTTCTCTTTCCATTTATCTTCTCCGTACTTGCCACTCACACTTCCTTCCCTCCGCCAGATCGACACGGAAAGCCTCGAGGTGACGAGAACCTGGCTTAGCAAATCCGAGCGTGACTCCAACGGCTGCTTGATCTCCGTCGGGAAGGTCTTCCACAAGGGGATGAAGGTACGGCCGTGGGTGAGAGGGAGGCAGGGGGTGGGAGGGGATATAGGGAGGGAGGAGGAGGGAAGGAGAGAGAGGAGGGCTAGGGGTGGGAGAGAGGGAGGAGGGAAGGAGGGCTAGGGGTGGGAGAGAGGAGAGGGACAGGAAGATGCATAAAAAGGGAGTGTGGGAGGGAAAGGGAGAGGAGGGAGGGAGTGGAAGGGAATAGGAGAGGGAGGGTGGAAGGCAATAGGAGAGGGAGGGTGGAGGGGAGAGGGAGGGAGTTTGTGTGTGTGTTTGTGTTTGTGTGTGTGTGTGTGTTTGTGTGTGTGTGTGTGTGTGTGTGTGTGTGTGTGTGTGTGTGTGTGTGTGTGTGTGTGTGTGTGTGTGTGTGTGTGTGTGTGTGTGTGTGTGTGTGTGTGTGTGTGTGTGTGTGTGTGTGTGTGTGTGTGTTGCTTTGTGTTTGTGTGTGTGTATTGAAAACATTCCAACATCGTTCTCCTCTGACTTCAACTTCCCACCTCCTCCTCCTCGCGCAGGGCGGTCTGGCTGACAGCGGAACGCCCGTGCCGCTGACGGCCTACGTGCTGACAGCGCTGATCGAGGCCGGCACCATCCCCACCGCCAGGATCGTGACGGACGCCACTCGCTGCGTGCTCTCCGACTCCTCCAGCGACCCTTACACTGTGGCCGTGAAGGCGTACGCGCTTGCCCTGGCGAAGCACCCCGAGGCGCAGACGCTTCTGCAGCAGCTGATCGACATGGCCGTGGTGGAGGAGAACGCCATGTACTGGGAGACGGCGACGGGAAGCTGTAAGTTGGCTCAGCGTTATATTTATTGATATATCAGATATCGAAATAATAGAATCGGTGATGATGATGGATAGATGGATTGATTAAATATTACAAAACTGAGGCGGATAGAAACAATCCACGACTTGTGTTGCCATTTTCACGCTGCCCGCAGCTAAGAGCAGTCCCCTTGCCGTGGAGACCGCCGGGTATGCCATCCTAGCGATGATGACCCAGGATCCTGAGCAGTACGTGCTCAACGCGAGGAAAGTGGTCAAGTGGATCACCACCAAGAGGAATGGCCTCGGAGGATTCTACTCCACACAGGTTAGTCCAACCGCCGTTTCGAAGCGTAAATCTGCCGACGCCACTCCTTGCATCCTGCGTTTGAGATAAGAGCAGTGAGTAAGAGCTAATAACATTCTTTTTTTTTCTACAGGACACAGTCGTGGCTCTGCAGGCTATGGCCAGCTACGAGACCAACACGCACCAAGGACCTCTGGACGTCGTGGCCACCGTCACTGCCAAGGACTTCTCTCACGCCTTCACCGTCAACGAAAACAATAAACTCCTGGAGCAGCTCCAGAAACTCCCGACTTTCCCGACCGACGTCACCGTCAACATAGAGGGCCAAGGGTGTGCTGTGATGCAGGTGGGCCTTGTAGACGGGAGGCTTCTTTGTCTAGAGCCGTTTCCATCTACCCTTTCATGCATTTGAGGCGCATTCTACCGCCATGCAATGTGTTCATTCTCAAACTTCTCACTGAAAGGAGTTATTACTCTGATATCCGAAAGCCATTCATGAATTGCCTTGTTCTCTGCTGCAACCTCCTGTAGGGCTTCAGTTTGTTTCCTCTCCTTCCTCAGGCTGTCCTCCGCTACAACATCCCCGAGCCGGAAGCCAGCGACGCCTTCGCCCTCAACGTCACGGCGACCAACGACCCGAGCGGCGGCTGTGTCTCCAAGCGCGTCCAGGCCTGCTCCAGCTACCTCCTCCCCGACGGCAAGTCCAACATGGCCGTCATCGAGGTCAATCTCATTTCCGGCTTCATCCCGGAGAAGGAGGACCTCAAGGCCGTTGTGAAATATAACAGCAAGGTGGTCAAGCGGTACGACGTGGACGGCAGCAAAGTGTCCTTCTACATCGAGGAGTTCAAGGCCGGAGAGGAAGTGTGCGTCAGCTTCCGCATCTCGCGTGAGGTGGAGATCGAGAACACGAAGCCTGGGTCCGTGGTCGTCTACGATTACTATCAGCCGGAGTTCGCTGTCAGCAAGGTACGATTAGAAGCTTTCATCTTGTGATTATCAAACTTTACGAAGAAATAAGTATCAACTGCTATTAGATAACGGAAGAACGATGTTACTTCATTGTCAGATTCTTTGTTTAACAGCGATATTCTTCTTCTTTCTCACAGAGTTACAGCTTCCCGGCCATTGACGGATGCACGCGGTGAGGCGAAGGCAGCTGTCTCGTATGAAGTGCAGCAGACAACACCACCACTTGCACTTTCCTCTCTCATCCGTAGTCGCACATGCACTTAGTTATGGCTACTTAGTTATTTCATATATTTTTTATTCATTTATGACTCATTTTCGATGCAGCACAATAACAATTGTGTTATAAAAGCATGAATAGACTGATCATGTTTCCACGATCATAAAAAAAGAAAAAGATAATTAGAATTAAAAAGAAAGCACCTTTATAAAATGTGATGAGAGAGCAAGAATAACAGTACAGACTATGTTAAAAATCCAAGAGGATATCACAACATAGGTATTAATGATTAATATCCTTTATTATCAGAATTCACTCTGAATCACATTTTGTGTATCATTTCCCAATAAAAGTGTCACACAACTCCAAGATATTTCTTTAAACAGTAAACGGTGTGGGTGCCTCTATCCTCCTCTAACTACCCTCTTATTCCGAATAAACCTTGGTAACTGGGTTAAATAAAGACATCTGAACTAAAGCAGCAGAACTTCCATAACTGCCACAGCCAGTTCTGGGAAGCTGAAACTGTATACTCATAAAAAAAATCCTTAAATCCGACGTCTACCAGTCTTCATTCCTTCTTTTGGTGGCAGTGAAAGGACGTCTGGGGTCTATACCTTCAAGATTTCTGAAAGTAAGTTGCTGGTTATGGATGTGGATACATAATTCTTTTCGCTCTTTGAATAAATCCAATTATATAGTGAATTAGGAGATGGATCTTTAAAGTTATGGAACATTGGTTGGATCCACTACTAAACAAACCTCAATACTTACTAAATATATTTTATTTCATGTCTTAGCTCATCTACTCTAGGAAAATATTTTTTTTGGATATCGTTTTCCTTTTTCCTTTTATGTATATCACGTCCAGGAGAATTGTAACAAATCCTACTAAAGTAAATCTATATCAATTCTTATATATTATTGCATCAATTAGGTTTTTATCACAGTAAACTATTTTCAGATTCGCCCGCGCTGGTAGGCCTACATTCTTCATCAATCGGAACACCGAGATTAAGGAGTACAAACGACCTGTCCATCAAGATTTACAATCGAATGTCAAGAATCAGTTTGGACCTTTCTTTGTACAGCCTCTTTTTGAGAACGGTGACTCGCATTTGAACGGCAGGTCACGAGTTCCAACGTCCAGTTACAGGACATTAAGGCCTACAGACGTTCGCTGAGGTGAGACCAGAGCTGACCAGCTACAGCAGAAGGGCCAGAACGAGGTACAGTTAGTTCAGCAAAGCCAAATTCCTCAATACGAATACACACGTTCACACAGGCAGCAGGACACTCACTTCGGCCACCAGACTGTACCAGAAAAATTATTTCAAGCCCCACCCAATACTTATCTCTCACTCTGGCCTCGTCAGACGTTGGAACAAGAGAGCCTGGTAAGAAATAACATGCTTCAAAGTCAGCAGAGAGACTCTTATGATTCACAGAATGACATCTTTGATTTGGAAACCCAGCAGTCAACATCATCATTTTTGCTGAGTGCCATCGATGGCCCAAGGAACCTGGAGACAGACCACAGACGGAGAATTGGTCTTACCTTAGACTTACCCATGCCACACAGTGAACATAATACTCAACAACCACAACAGAATGACTTCCCAGGAAAGCATAAGTTCAGTCATACAGAATTCCATTCACAGCAGCCTCCTAATTCACATGATAGTGAATTTCGACAAAAGAACGCTTTTGAAAACCAGTTTTTTGAGCAATATGATCACAGTGCTAGTCGATTTCAAGAGGAAAGCGAACGATCACTGGATCACCAGCAAAATCTACAGCATGGGAATCAGCATGGTACCCAATTTCAGCAAGACAGCCTCCATAACAAATTCAAGAGAGACAGCCAACATATCCAAATTCAACAGGAAAATGTATTCTTAAACGATCAGATTTTTCAACACAAGTCAACGAGTAACAACCAACACTCAGACCAAAACCAGCAGCTTCAACATGCCATGAATAACCATCAGTTCCCACATGGAATTTTTCCGAAAACCAGTCAATTTCAACAACAAACTGCCTTCAGTAACAACCAATTTCATACAGAGGTCCTATCAAATAACCATTCTCAGCAACAACTGCCTAACAATAGCCCGTTTCAACGAGATACCTCTACAAATAATAACGAATTTCAGCATCAAAACGAGTTCAGTAATAATCGATTTCAGCAAGAAATTCCCCCACATAATGACGAATCTCAACGGAATCCTTTCGACAACAATAACTCCCAGCAAGACACACTGCCAACCCAAAATTTTCAGGAAGAGACCCTACCCAACATCAACGACCCACGTCATGAAAACCTGGAAATCGGCCACAATCTGAATCTTCAGCAAGACCAGCCAGGACGTCAAATCCTCCACAATAATACATCTGAAACCAGCACCTCTATTTCTCAAGATCAAGTGAATAGTTCGTTGCAAGTACACAATCATCCCTTCACATCCACAACCCAACAGAAGAGACAACTACAATCCGTTTTTATCCATGGGCAGCCTGAGGAAAATATTCATCAAACTACTCAATCACATCCACATACTCTTCAAGGTGGATTAAGAGAACAAAGAAATCCTCAAAGCACACAATTACATCCGCTCGTTGTGAATAGTAGATTAACAGAACCACGAAATATTCAGAATATACCATTAAATCCGACGCCAAATGTTATCACCACTTCTCAAAACCATGTGAATAATTCATTCCAGGTACAAGATGCAACATATACCCCAAAGTTTACAACAGAACAGCAGATTGAACAATTGGAATCCCTTTTTCTTTCAAATGGACAATCAGAAAGTCTTGAGTACATACAGTCAGAAGAGCAAATACCACAGACTTTACATCCTGGATCGCAAATTCTCCAAACGAGACGAGCGGAGCAAGGCCATCTTCAAACCACCCGATCTGACGAACAAACTCAAAAGAGTGGATTCAGAGACCAAAGAAATGCCCAATCAGATTCACACATTCAAGTAAGTGGATCAACAGGCCAAAGCCAACCCCAACACATACAGTCAGATCTTGTTCTTGCAATTGATTCAGCAAGCGAAAGACCTCAAGCCCTTATTCCACATACACAAGGAAGTGGATTAAGGGAACAGAGAAACCCCCAAACTGCAACACCCAATTCGCATATGGTAATAGGACACAACGATCCACAAAGAGAACTTTTCACACCACAGAATTCGGACCCAAACTTTGGCCATTTACCATCGGCTACCACGAGACATCAGAATGAAGAAAGCAAATTTCTCAACATCTTCGATTCACAAAGCAAAGGCGGGATTCACTCTGAAACAACAGGTCCTTTGATAAATCTCCATTCTGGCTCCGAAAATGGTGATACACAGGTGACTGTTTCGGAATCCTTACACTCCGCTCAACTTGATTTTGAGGTAAGTACTGTTGCACCCCCAAATTGGCGCAATGGACTGACAGCATCACAAGGCGTTGGCAATAGTGGGCTCCAGGCGCAACATTCTCAGGGTAATTTCGAGTCTCAGAATCAAGATGAGTTTGAACGTATTTTTCAGCGAAAAAGAGAATCGCAGAATATTCAGAAAAATATTGACCCTCATCAGACTAATGTGGAAAACTTGAATCTACAGAGACAGAGCAATTCTGGTTTTCAAATTCAAAACAATGAATCATTTAATCAAGATCACTTTAATTCCCAAAAGCTTACTGATTTTGGTTTATCAAATCAGGATCACAATTTTCAAACTCAAAATTTCGATTTTCATTTTCAAAATCAAAATAATTTCGAGGCTCAAAATCTGAATAATTTACAGCTTCAAAATCAAAAAGAGAATTTTAGACAGAATATCTTCATACCTCAAATGAATGACGAAAATCTAACTCAGAACAGTTCTGTATTTCAAATTCAAAATCTTAATAATGTTCAAACTCAAACTCAAAATCATAATAACTTTCAATTTCAAAATGAAAATAGGAACAATTTCAATACTCAAAATGAGAATAACTTCCAAAGTGAACACATTTTCCAGTCTCTAAATCAAAATCACAATGATCAAAACACCAGAAATCAAAATCAAAATCAAAATGCCTTTTTAAATCACGAATTCCCAAGTCAAAATCAAAACCAGAATATATTGGAAGCTCAAACTCTTCTAAATAACGCCAAACTTCCTATAAGACAAAATAACTTCGAGGATCTAAACAGAAATCAGGATAACTTGCAAATTCAAATTCAAAGCCACAATGAATTCCAAGCTCAAAATCTAAATCTAAACAACGCCAAACTTCAAATTAGACCACAAAATAACTTCCAATCTCACGAACATCAAAATAACTTTCCGAATCTAAACGGAAATCAGGATAACTTTCAAATTCAAATTCAAAATCACAATACCTTCCCAACTCAACCCTTGATTCAAAATAACTTTCCTCAAAATCAAGCTGGAAAACAAAACAACTTTCAGAATCAAAATCAAAATCTAAATATTTTCAAATCTCAAATTCAAAATCAGAATAACTTCACTCAGAATCAGAACCATAACTCCCCCAGTCTCCAGCAAAGTAAATTTCTAAATCAAAACCAGAATCAAAATAATTTCCAGCCTCAAAATCACAATGCCTTTCAAAATCAAAATCAAAATGACTTTCAGCCTCAGATTGAAAATGACTTTTTAAATGAAAATCAAAACTTTCTAATCAAATCAAAATGACTTTCTAAATCAAAATCAAAATGACTTTCTAAATCAAAACCAAAACAACTTTCAGCCTCAGATTCAAAATGACTTTTTAAATGAAAATCAAAATGACTTCCAGTCTCAAATTCAGAATGACTTTCTAAATCAAAAATCAAAATCAAAATGACTTCAAAATCAAATTTTCTAAATCAAAATCAAAATGACTTTCAAAATCAAAATGACTTTTAAAAAAATCAAATCAAAATCAAATGACTTTCTAAATCAAAATCAAAATGACTTTCTAAATCAAAATCAAAAACTTTTAAATCAAAATCAAACTTTCTCAAAATGACTTCTAAATCAAAAAAATTTCTAATCAAATCAAAATGACTTTCTAAATCAAAATCAAAATGATTTCAAAATGACTTTCTTCAAATCAAAAGACTTTCAAATCAAAATCAAAATGACTTTCTAATTCAAAATCAAAATGACTTTCTAAATCAAAATCAAAATGACTTTCTAAATCAAAATCAAAATGACTTTCTAAATCAAAATCAAAACTTCCAGTCACAAAATGACTTTCTAAATCAAAGCCAAAATCAGAATAACTTCCAGCCTCAAATTCAAGATGACTTCCTAAATCAAAATCAAAATCTGAATAACTTCCAATTTGAAACACAAAATCTGAATAGCTTTGAAGACCAAAACCAGGCTCAGCACTTCCACCTTCAAACTCAAAATCAAAACAACCAATTTCAAACTCAAATTCAAAATAATTTCCAATTTCAAACTCAAAATCAAAATAACTTCCAATCTGAACCCAAAAATCATAAAAGATTTGCAAATCTAAACCAAGATCAGATTAGCTTTCAATCTCAAACTTCAAATCCATTCAACTTGCAAAACCCAAACCACAATGAGAATAAATCCCAATTTGAATCTCAAAATCAGAATAACTTTTTAAATGAAAACCAAAATCATAGTAACTTACAATTTCAAATTCAAAATCAGAGTAACTTGCTAAATCAAAACCAGAATCAATATGTTAATATAACTCAAAATCAGCAAATATTTTCAAATCAAGAACAGGATCAGAGTAACTTTCAATTCCAATCTCAAAATCGGAATAACTTTCTGAATCAAAATCAGGATAATAACTTCCAATCTCAAACTCAAACTCAAAATAGCTTTCTAAATCAAAATGACTTTCTGAACCACGTCCAGAATCAGAGTGACTCCCAATTTCAAACTCGGGATCAGAATAACTTTCTACATCAGAACCGGGATGACGGTAACTCCCAGTCTCCGACGCAGAATTGGCATAACTTCGTAAATCAAAACCAAGATCCGAATCACTTCCAATCTCAAAGCCAAAATCATATCAACTTCACAAGTAATAATCTTGGAAAGGCGTTATTGCAACCACTCAATCAACCAAATGGAACTTTTGGAGATAACAATTCAAGTTTTCAAAATCTGGACAATGGTCCTTTGCAAAATTTACAAAATGTTGATTTAGAGCAGCAAGATTTGAAAATCGGCGGCCTTGAAATCCACTCTCTGGAAAACCAATCGATATCTTCAAAGTTTAACAAAACCGGGTTTCAAAATCCGGGAAAATCTATTACTGAAAATCCTCTGAACACGGATCAGATTTCGTCCGGTCAAAGTAATTTTGAAAGCAGTCCCCCTTCACATACTTTTCAAAACAACTTGAGCTTCGTCACTCAAGGGATTCCTCAAGTGCCAAATGTTCAACATAATTTTGAGGACAAAGGTAATTTCTTCTCGCAAAACATTCATGGCAAATTTAAATCCATAGATGTTGAGGATACTATTGATTCTGACACTCAAGATCCTCAAACTAATTTTCATTCAGTAGAAACTCACAGCAATTTCGTTCCATCAAATATTCATACCAATATGGACTCGAATATTCATAGTAAATTCGTTGGTACAAATATCCAGAGTGATTCGAGTACACAGACTTTCCAAAATAATGCTGATCCTACAGATATTCATGGTATTATAAACACCCAAGAACATCCGACTACTTTCCAAACACAAGTTTCAAATATCGGCTCGAATGTAAGTGAATTTAATTTCAAATCAGAAAATCCTACTCGGCAAAGCATTCAAAACAATTTTAATTTTGGACATGATCAAAGTCATTTTAATCCAGAACATACTACCAGTAGCATAACGTTACAGAATACTCAAGACGACTCCAGTTCACAGTTCTTTCAAACCAGTTTTAACACAAATGTTCAAACTCTGCATAATACTCAGAATATCCCAAATAACCTAAACTCGCAACATGCTCGAAATAATTTAAGTTTACAAAATATTCCTGGTAGCTTCGACTCACAACATATTCAAAGTAATTCCAGTTTACAGAACACTTTTAGCTCCCAAACTATTAAAAGTAATTTTGATTCTCAGAATATTCCGGACAGTAATACCGAATTATCAAATGATCAAAATTTCGGGAAAACTCTCTCAGGTTCCACGCATCTCAGAATCGAACAATCAAATTCACAAAATCTTGAAGAATTCGATTTGGAAAAACTATTTACTAATAAATCTGGGTCCGAGGTTCAGGAAAACAGAGATTTCCCATCACAAAATCTGCCAATTCTCGATTCAGAATTAAAATACACCTTCAAAGTGGACTTTTCCATCCACCAGTTAGGGAATTCGGCCATTTCCATTCTGAAATTAAAGGTAACATCGATTTTCAAAATCATCAGAGGAACGGTGATTCTCCAACGGTTCCTAGCATTTTTAATTCACCAAATTTTCACAACGATTTTCATCCAAGCAATATTGAAAACAAACAATCAATGCATAACAAATTCGGGGTTCACTAAGTGTCAATAGGAAAATACCGAGCAGGCAAAAACTTGGGGGAAATCTCTAATCGGGCCGACGAATCTGCAAAATGGTCTTTTCAACTAGCAAAATCTGGGAAGAACTCCGAAACGGGAAGGGTTGAAAGGCCACAAGTCTGGCTCTGTTCCAGAAATCTGGAAAAAACTTTGATTCCATACATTCTCTATAATTACTTCAGTCAGGGTCCCGATTCCGAATATCTCCATAGTCATTTTATATCCCAAATAGCTATTTTATAAGTAATCCAAACTTACAATCCACCTACTAATCAATGAACTTACAAATAACATTTTCTGTTCATTATTCACTGAATTATTGAGCATAATTCTCGTTCCCAAAATATTCAGAGTATTGATTAGCTCATGCAGCAACCATAAGTCATTTCAACCTCACAAAACCTTCAAAGTAACCAAAGTATCAAAAGCTCAAGGTAATATCAATCATACACAACAATCGATTTCACCAATCAAAGGCAAAGCTCTTTTCAGAAATTCTATGAATTTTTTAGAGAATCACAGGAATCGCATAACTCTATTCCGAACAAAAAGATTCTGAAAAATCCAAGAAGAAACAATACGATTTCCCTCTAAATCTGGGAAATGTCGCATTCTGGAATTGGACTAATCTTCGAAGTGGGCTTTTCCAACGCCCGTGTAAAGGGAATTCAATCACTTCCAAAGAAAAATAAGTCAAAACAATTTCAATTTCCAGACTCCGAGTAGCAGCGTTCTCGGGAATGTTCATAATGGTTTTAGTTCACAAAATCAAAGCAATTTTCAGTTACTTAACCAGCAAAGCAACAGTGAATCACAAAGTATTTCAGGTGCTTTCAGTTCACAAAATGTACAAAATAATTTTGATTCACAGAGCATTACCAGTAATTTGCTGCACAGAATTTCGAAGCAATCATTGAATCGCAGAATATTCAAAACAATATTGATTCAAAGAATACTCATATTATTCTTAATCCACAGAATATCCAAAGTAATTTTAATTCACCAAATATCCAAAGCAATTTTGAATCACAGAATATTCAAGGTAATTTTGAGGCCCAGACTCTGGGAAAAGGCTTTTCAGAATTGAATAACCTCCAAAATAATTCATCTGAGGAGCAAAAGTTAAAGCATTCCGACACGATACAATTGGAAAAATGATAATTCAGTGTTAAAAATCGGGAAAATACTGGTTCACAATTATTAATTCCTGGGTTTTTCCACTCGCAAAATTCCAACAACCATTTTGATTCACACAACACTCAATCAAAATCGCAAAATATCCAGGGCACTTCCGATGACCAATTCGAAGAAAACAGTTTCAATTCGCGATTTACGTCGCAGAATCTGGGGAAAAGTTCTTCAGAATCAAAGGATTTCCAAAATCGATTACCTGAATCACAAAATATGGAAAATAGTAACGCCAGTAATCTAGAAAACAATAATTTCCAGTCTCAAAATCTTGTAAATGCGCAGTAATTACCTAGAAAACAATTATTTTCCAGTCTCAAAATCTTGTAAACAGCCATCTTCAATCACAAAATCTAGGAAATCTCTACCAATCTCAAAACTCTGAAAACAATGATTTTCAGTCTCAAAATCTAGAGGATCGTTTCCAGTCTCAGAATCAGAAAAACACCAATTTTCAGGCTGAAACTTTGGGAAATGTTGAATCAGAATTTAGTCATCTGCTAAGTGGGCGTTTGCAGCCTCCAACGAGGGACTTCACCTATTACGAATCTCTTGGTGCTCAAAACAATTTTGATGCGCAGAATTTTCAAAACAGCTTCAATCCTGAGTATACCCAAATTACACTGAATTCACAAAAGAGCCAGACTGACACAGAGCCACAAAATAGAGGTAAGTCACTTTCGGATCATTCGGAAAGGAAAAGATCTCCGAGATAGGTCGCCAGGAATAAATCTGGAGAACACCAGTTCAGACGAATTAAAAAACAATGATACGATTCCTCAAAATCTGGAACCCCCGTTTAGGGAATACAATTACTTTGAATCACAAAATCCAATAAGTGGAGTCTTACAAAATGATTTCCAAAATACATCAGACAAACTGTTCAAGGGCAATCTGTCATCACAAAATCCGAGAAATGAAGGATTTGCATCACAAAGCCATCAAACGGAAGACTTTGCGACCCAAAACATCAAAAGGAGTCCGTCATTGTCGCAGAATCAGGGAAATGGTGGTTTTGAAACGCATAATCAGGCAAGAAATAACTTTCAGAACGCAAATTCTGAAACTCAGAAAGATGATAACAATGTGCCATCGCCTTCTTCCTTAAACATTCACCACAAGCCGCAAATAATGGCTTCTTGTGAACATTAGAGATCCACATACACAAAAATTCGAAAATTTAGAGCGACCACGCACTTCTCCAAACACTCGGACTCGAGTTCAAGACGAAGAAAGTCATAGCTCAGAGCCAAGACCTCACGAACTTCTCTCAGAACCAGAAACCCAGGCAGCCCAAGAAGGGGAAATTAGCCAACTGCAAAATCAACCAATTCACACGACGCAACAGAGCATGCAAATTCAAGTCAAGGGAAATCGCGATAACGAAGCGCATATTCTTCACGAAAACGGCACCGGATTACGTAATCGGAACCCCATCCACACTCGGTCACAAACTCCATTTTTCAATAGTTTTGAGCCCCTGCGTTTACAAAATGGCGATAACCCGAAGAAATCAAACGGAGATAGTCATTCGTTCAGACTCAGAGTGGAAAAACTGATCTTCAAAGTCAAAGCAGAAGATACAGAAAGCGGTTGACCTCTAATAACTCAAAATGTACAAAACGACTTCCAGCCAACAACTTTTCAAAGCTCGACCCACAGCGACGTCAGCCCAAGCATTCAGCTAAATGGCCACGCATTCCCACCGAACATGCGCCATGACCCCTTGTTCCACGCGCCTGAGGTAACCGCGGAGAGTTCACAGATTTCGGAGAATGACCAGTTTCTTCCTCAGAGCAGCCAGCGCGATCAAGTGCAACTGAAGCCCCAGACCAGCCAAACAGACCAGTTTTACCCACCGAGCCTCCATACTCAATTACAACACAACCAACGTGGTCAGCTGCAACCACAGACTCCGCAAAATCAGCGGCAAGCACAAAGACATCATCCCTTCCCGAGATCAACAGCGCCTTTCCCGCTGCTATCAACAGCCTCTGCAGAGAGAAAGCAGAGAGTCAGAGACACAAATTTCGCGTCCTGAACCAGAGGGAGTTAAAACAGGTCGCATTTATTTTTCGCGCAAAACTTCCCAAGCGAAACAATTCAGTGGTTTAGACTCCAGTTCAGAACAATCACAAAACCACACTCGAGAATCCCCAAATAGACAGTCACAACATCACTCTCGAGGACCACAACACCAGCAATCACAAGCGAACTCTCAGTCATATGAACATTTACAAATGAACTCACAACCACAAACTAATTTTCAATCACAACACAAACAACCACAAACCAGCTCCCAATCACAAGACAAACCACAAACCAACTCCCAATCACAACACAAACCACAAACTAACTCCCAACCACAACCAGAGCCATCACAACCCCCTTCCCAACCGCGGCGCAGGCAAAACAGGCATTCGAGACGTCTTATTCGCCCAATCGACCCCTATGAAGCTTCGAATCCCCCGATGATCCACTTCGAATCCGAAAAGCTTCGACCAGACAGAGAAGAGAGGTCAAAACACGCGAACCCTCCGGAATTTAGCCAACCTCTCTTGTTTATAATGTATACGAAGTGACATATTTTGAAGTTATAAACAAGCTATTTTCCAAAATGTTCCGTCAACAATTGTTATTTTTTTTTACTTTTTTTATGTTTGTTTGTTTCTTTTGTTTTGAGAAGTACGCGGACCCTCCAGAATTTAGCCAACCTCTCTTGTTTATAATGTATACGAAGTGAACATTTTGAAATTAGAATGAACAAGCTATTTTCCTAAATGCTCCGTCAACTATTAGTTTTTTGTTGTTGTTGTTTTTTTGTATTTATGTTTGTTTTGTTTTTTTACTTTTTGTTTCTTTTGTTTTGTGTTTGTATCGTTGTTTTCTCAACTGCTGATTTTTTTCCTTCTTTTCGTTCATTGTTATCATTATCCAGTCATCAAACATCACCTCATATTTTTTCTTGGGACTCTTATTATATTTTCGTGCCATTATTATAGTCATCATGCATGAGAATGCAATCATTGCCTTGTGTTTGTTGTTGAATTGTTAACGATATTTTCAATAAACTTACAAAAACTTTTTAGTAGTTTCTCATTACCATTGCGTGTGTGTGTAAATACATATATATCTATCTATCCATCTACCTATCTATTTATCTATCTATCTATCTATCTATTATATATATCTATATTATATATATATATTTGTATATTACATACATACATACATTATATATATTATATTATATATTATATATATATATATATATTATATTATACAATATATATATATATACAAATTCATAACCATAAATCTATATATATACTTTCAATATAAATG